AAATTATAATATAACATAACAAAATTTTAGGATTTACGAGCAAATGATGGTTTAAAAAACAAAAAAAAAAGAAAAACGAGTAAACCTTAATTATTTAATCAGTTTTCTTATCACCACTCGATTGCGTTAGTTTTGTATATTCCTTAGTCAAACGATCGTATTCCTTCGTGAGTGATTCCGCCTGCGATTTTATCGCTTCTTTATCCTTCCTTTCTTTAGTCAAATTACTCTCGAGCTCCTGATTCTTCGCTTGCAACTCCTTAATTTGAGTTTTCAATTCCGAGACAGCTTTATCGTGTGCCTCGTTGGAATCATTCTGCGCACTTTCTCCAATTGTTCTCTGAGACAACAAGCTTCTGGCTGTGGTCGTTGCCGACTGAGCCTGTCGCATGGCTGCCTCGTTTTGTGCGAGTAAAGAAGCTTGAGTAGATATCAGGATGACAAGACGACGTATCACCAAACTCAGAAACAGCGCAAAGCCGGATATGTAGAAGTTCCTCTGTGCGCGAAACAATCTCATATTTTCTGGAAAGAGTGTATTAATATAAATGTCAGAATAGTGACATAATTTTATAGCTCGCGCATAATCAGGAGTCACAAGAATACAAAATTTCAAATAATATACAAAAAGGAACGTTGTGAAATACAAAAGTGTCAAGGATGATTCTCAAGTATTTCAAGATTCAAAAAAATCATCTCTTAAAAATTTTCAGAATACATCAAAAACTGTGTATAATCTACCTTGCATTTCAACATTCAACTGATGATGATCTGTGTGATCTAAGCTTGTGGAGTATTTCCGCATCTCTCGTATGGCATCCAATAGAAAGAGAACCAGAACACCCAGCAAGACCACAAAATAAATAGAAGCTTGATTATTTAAGCTTTGCAAAAACCGAGATTTGAAGAACTTTTGCCATCTGGTCGGTGAGGCTACTGGAAGCACCAGGAGGAGGACAATCGCAACTTCAATATAGAGGAAACCAGCTATGAGCGTCCACTGCAAACTCATGTTTGCCTCTTATTCTACCCCTGCGTTTAGATACCTAAAAAAATAATAGAATATACATGTCAATGTAATCTCCATATTTCAATATCTTGAAAATATACGGAAATCAAGTATTTATTGGAATTCCTTGTTGCCAACTGTCGGAATCTTTTTCTGACAAAGAAAGCACTGCGCTTCCTATCTACAAAATGCAACAGGATATTTTAACCTCAATTCTATTCATAAAAACAGGTATAAGATAAAGATAGCTCTATCAACATAGATTAATCTTGGTTTAACTTATTATCTTCTTCCAATTTTTAAGAATTAATTCTTCACCAATATAGATTAATTTCCATGTCGGTTCAACTTATTTTTGTTTTCTTATATTTTTAAGAATTGAAAAATATAGTTTTAAAAAAGTCGTTTTTTTCAAATTATGGAAAGAAAATTGAATGATTTTCTTCACGAAAAGAAGCAAATATGTCAGATTTTACAAGCACATAAGAATTTTTCTATCCTTAAGAAAGGAAAAAAAAAATTCATGAAAAGAATCGGACTTTTCAGAAATTTTAAAACTATTAAAAAAAAATGAAAAGTTGAATTAAAATTACAACTAATCATTGGTAGAATGGTCTCTTCCTCTTTTTCTATTTCTAAGAATTAGAAAAAGATGGAAAATAAATTGAACTGAAATTTAATTTAATTTGCATTAGTAGAAACGCATTAGCTGAATTTTTTGCACTATTCTTTTTTTTTCTAAAGCAGAGAAAAAAGAAAAAAAGATAAACTATGCAAGTTCAACTGGAGGAAAAAAACAGACTGATAATACATTTCGCACTGCGACGCAATTATTAAATTAACTTTTCAAGGAATGCATGCAAAGAGAATTGACAGGATGATACGTGATTTTGAATCGGATCATGATCAGTCATGACGCAACATTACTATAATGAAATGACACGATCAGAGACAGGATTCGTGGAAATGCTGCTCGATTGGCCTACTGACCACTTTCAAAGTCGCACCTGTCAACGTTTCGAATAAGTACTTGGTAGACACGATCCACTCACAAAAATAAAGTACATCGTTAGGTAAAACAAAGCTCAACAATTCGGAGATTGGAGTCGTCGGCTCTCTGGCACGCCTCTAAACTTAACACATACATAAGATGTATTTTGGAATAGCCATTTAACGAATGAATCCTCGATGTATTTATAAGCTAGCGACTCGTTTGCCCGGGTGACTGCCGACGAATTTCACTTACGTGTCAGTGAAATTCACCAGGATTTTTAATGCCTTACGTGGTTCTTCTGTAAAGACAAGTGCAACAGCAAGAGAATTGAAACACGTCGTCAGTCTCCAACAATTTACTTATATATGACGTGCAAGATGCATTCGAGTAGACTGTAGACTCAAAGTGCGAACATTTCGTCAGTCGGTAGTTTTATAAATAAACCGTACCTCGTGACGTCACCCGGACTCCTCGCAAAATATATGATTTTCTGCATCGCTTCATTCGCATCTCTGTTCTCTCTGTTTCTCTTCCTCTTTCAGTATCCCTCTTTCTCTCTGTCACGAAATGCACGACAAATGCTTTAAAGCGTTTTTGGATTGGTCAATTTGTAAAATTCTTTCGTCTGATTGGTTTGGTTCCATCAAACGCTTCAAAGCACTTTCTAGAGTACATTTCGTTTCACGCGTGAATGATGCGCATGCATTATTTATTCTTGTTATTCACCGAATGTTAAATAAGAATAAATGATATATTATGGGCCGATCTCACTAATTCCGATTAACTCAATCGATTGATTGTTACATTGGAACTGACCAATTGCATTTGCTGTTCAGCAGAAATGACTAATCACGATTGATACTTAATCGACCGATTAGATTAATCAGAGTTGATGAGACCGGTTCCTAGGCTGTGCTGTGGTCAAAGTTTCGCTACAAATGTTTTGAAACATTTGATGGACCAATTAGAAGAAAGAATTTTACAAAATGATCAATTAAAAAACATGTTGACTGTATCTCTAGTGAGACTTTGGCTTTAACATTTTACATCGTGCACTTGATACGGATACTGATAAATAGTAACTTTCTATTGAATTATTTTAATTTCGGCGATACGTGTAAACATATACACGAGATGTGTATTTAATTAATCATTTTGATGCATATTGTACCAATATTCTTTGAATTAACATCGTTGAAATTAAAATAATTTAATAGAAAGTTATACTAGTTAGTATGTGTATCAAGTGCATGATGTAAATTCGGCTTTTAGGTGTCACTTGATGCTACAAATGGTTGCGTTCAGCAGAGAAAGCAGCTTTGCAACTGTTGTAAAATTCTTCGATATAATTAGTCTTGTCCTTAGTTTCTCATTGGATCTAAATATATAAACCAATTATATTCAAGAATTTTATAACAGTTTTACAATGTTTCAAAATTTTTGATGAATTGGAAGAAAGAATTTTTACTAACTGACAATAAAAAAAATGCTTCAAGCGACAAATGCTTTAAAGTAGAGTCCTATATATGAGAGAAGCGACATTCATTTCCCACTACTTTAGCACCGCCATATTTAGCCCACTTCCAGTTGACCAGCTGACCAGTTCCCATGAAAATTTACTCCATTGTAAGAATCATAACTCTGTCAGAATGAGGTTAAGTAAGTATTAATGTTTTTGTGTTTTCTTGTTGAATAATATAGCGATTAAATAATGCAATTAAAAATGTTACACAAAAAAGTAAACGGCATATTGTATACAATTAGTTTTATAATTTTATTGAATGCATTATTACAATAACGTTATGTATTTTTGTAACATGATTATGTTTCTATTTTGTCAGGAAGTATTTCGTAAATATACAAAAATACTTAACATATCTGTTTTAGATATGTGTATGTATCAGTTCAGCTATAGAAAGGAAACATATGACAGCTCTCCGGATACAATGGCTGTTTTAATTAGGTGGCGGATAATACCAATCAGAAATCGTGACGCCGATGTTGCTTCTCTCATATATAGGACTCTACTTTAAAGCAATTTTTGATTGATCAATTTGGAAAATTCTTTTTTCTAATTGATCAATCAAACCCTTCAAAGCATTTGTAGTAAGACTTTAACCGCAGCCTTTGACCACAGTTATATATGACAACCGTGTATGGATTAAAGCCTTTTCATACTGAGGCTCATTTTTAGCATCAAAATATAAGTCACGTGATCAAAATTTACATTTGATATTCGTCAATTTCTATCACGTGACTTATTTTGATTCCGAAAATGAGCGTCGAGCGTCGGAGCGTATGAAGCCACAGCAGACTTTTGCATAAGTAAGAAATTGATCAATTATATAATAGTCGAATTTGAGAAGAATAATAGACTATGATTCATTCATTTCTTAAAGCTTAAAACATCTATTGTAGATCCGGACTTACGCATAAAAGTACCTTTTCATATTTCATGTTAACGCTCGACGCTCATTTTCAACAAGTGATCAAAATTGATATTCGTCAATTTCTTTCACGTGACTTATTTTGAAAATGAGCGTCAGCATAAAAAGGCACCTTAATGTATAAGCGAATCAACTAATTAAAATTTTTCTTTTCCGTAAAATGGAAAAAAAATAAGGCGCTCCGCACAATAAAAGAAACAGAGAACAGAGAATAAGAATTTTAACTTCAGAAATCATGTATTGTATAATATATAAAGTTTTCAACTAAAGCGATCGACGAGATACTATTAGGATGAAATAGGACTTATACGGTGCGAAATAGAGAGGATTGCGGACTGCGGAATAGAGAATGCGTCATTAAAGCAATTAACTGTCTAAACACTTCAATATTCACAAGAATGAAATTCACACGAACTCTCGTAATGCCTATTGCACACTGGACGCGATAAATGATCGCTCACTGGAGCGATGAGCGATATCCAACGAGAGCTTTGCTTTGAGTCATCATATAAGAAACAAAGCAGAGCTTTATTGGAAATCGCTCATCGTTCGTCGCTCATCGCGTCCAGTGTATAATAGGCATAAGAATGATCGATCTTTAATTGATGCGGAACGCTTACTATATGATTGATTCCACGTTATGTATTCCGCTGCATGAGAAGGCATCTTAGGGCGCATTCACATCTTGATGGAAAAGCGGAAAATGGAAGAGCAGCAGCCAATCAGAACTCGCACTAGTAATAGACAATTTCGTATCATTTTTTGTATCACTTACTACCAGCGCAAATTTTAATTGGCCACTGCTTTTCCGCTTTCTATTTTTCCGTCAAGGTGTGAACGCGCTCTTACAATTACAGTCACTTACAACAACGTTTATGTCTACTATAGAATAGATTTTATAACTACAATCATTTAAAATTTTTATATCCACATAGACTTGTATAATCACATAATAAACATATGCATAAAGAAAATCGCATTTCTCTCATAACGCACGTAAAATGTGATTGGATAATTTTCATTATAAATACGTTTATGCAGTGATGCAAGTTGTGTGGATATATCCTTAAGCGGGAAGCATAGACTCTTGCATAACGCATAATCATAAGGGTGTTTCCTCCGCTATTCCGCTATATGAGTAAGCATCTTAAGATATAAAAAAAATCGATCAATCAGAGTCCTTTATTTCATGGAAATGAAGGAAATAAAGAATTTTTGATTGGTTTATATTCACTGACTATATTCAACAGAAAAAACAGCTTTGCTGCAACTGTTGTAAAATTCTTTAATATGAGTGGTCCTGTCGTTAGTCTCTTAGTAACCTAAATGTATAAACTAATCATATTGAAGAATTTTACAACAATTGTAAAGCTGCTTTTTCTGCTAAACACAGTCATTAGCTGCGTTCAGCAGAGAAAGTAGCTTTGCAATTGTTGCAAAATTTTTCACTACGATTAATTCTTACTTTGGATTCCTTATAGATTTAAATATATAAGGCCCGGTTGCACCAACGTTATTTTGACTTTAAGCAAAGCTTAAAACTCTCTCCGTCTCTGTCTCTCTTTCGCTTTAAAACGAGACAGAGAAAGTTTTAAGTTTTGCTTGAAGTCAAGGATACGGTCAACGCGATGCTACAAAGCATGCTTTAAAGCAATTTTTGATTGGTCAATTTGTAAAATTCTTCTTTCTAATTGATCAATCAAACGCTTCAAACCATTTGTAATGAGACTTTAACCGCAACCAAAATAAGATTGATACAACCGGATTTAAATCACGGTGTAAGAATAATAGGTGATTCCATTCATCCATTTTTGCTAGAAAAACTGTGACGAAATTGGCAGTTCAGACATTAGAGAGCATAATGGTCTGACACCTAATTTCATATACTACATCATTCCATTCGCGATCTTCCCGAGAAGGAAGCACCTATGGATTTTTATATTTAGGATATGCGAAAAGTTAATCTTGACTTAATCTATAATTAACATGTTTCTTTTTCTTTTGTTTAATGTTTGATATCTATTCTTAAGATAGACATCGCATGCAAGCCAGAAAGGCTTGTCACGTCAGTATAAATTTTATGAGCGGTCGAGCTTGGAAAATTGCATGAATTGCCATGCTAAGCTAAACCTAATTTTCGAAAAAAAATTATTTCGACAATATTGGCGCTTATTCTACTAAATATTTATCTTCTTATCTAGTTATATTAGTTACATACCGACATGTATCTTTCATTTTAGAATGTTCGATGAAAATCTCAATGCTTATTCGACAAACAATAATTCATTCATATTATATAATGTAAAACTATTAAATGTACACTAGTACATTTATTAGTACATTTCCATTGTCTTGTAATGTTTACAAGATATTAGCTAAATAACACAAATGCAAATGGAAAATATTATACATATCTGTTAAAAATTCCTCTTCCACATTTATTCATTTAATTTACAATTTAAAAAAAATGAGAATACAATAAAAAACATGAAATTTCTCATCGCTTGTTCTCTGTCTGGCTTACTAATATGTGATATTAAATGCATCTGTTATCAATAATGACGATCTTTGCAATCTTTCCAATTCACAGCTGCATTCAAGTAGCATTTCTTTTATGATTAAAATCTACAGCATATATCTCTTTCACAACTTTCGATCTTCCTAATTGTTCCACCAATCTTGTGTAATAAATGTACTAATAAATAAAAAAATTTTTATGTAATAAACAATAAAATTATTTATTATGTTGTCACT